AAGTCCTGCATTTAAATAAAAACAAATTAAAAAACCATAAATCATGTCTATAGGTAAAGAGTGAAAATATTGGAATTTTAGTTAATAACACAATAAAAGTTTACTATCTTTTGTCTATATTTATGAAATACAAAATCTTTGAAAACTGAAAGTTTTATGTTAAGTTTGTCACCAAAACCTGACCTGAACTAACTTGAGAGTATTTATGATCTTTATTTATCCACTTGTAACAATTAATATTTCTGTAGCAGAATGTCTCAGTAATGAGCTGAGGAGATGATGCTTTACATGAAATATGATATATGGACTGTGTCAGATTCCTAAAATCTGAAAAATTCTGAATTTTGAAACAATTTAACCCCAAGAGTTAGAATAAAAGGCTTTAGGATTATATAAGACAGAAGTGTGACCAAATTACTAAAAAACAAAGGAAACTTTGGTCAAAATAAAGGAAGCAACATTCTTCAATTATGGAAAAATGAATGATGACTTAACCTGCTGGGGCAACATGTAAAATATTCTAGCACTATAATCTAAGAAGAATGTTAGATTTACTTGGTATCTAACAAAGTGCTTGGTACACGTTCAACACTAGATAAATATTTGTTGAATGAATGAAAGAATGAGTACAGTGCATCATTCAAAAGCACAAATATATCAATTTATCCAAACTCAAAGACTTCTTATCGTCTATTCCCAACCTTCCATTCTGGTTTTAATCCCCAACTTCCAGACTATCTTTTTTTTTTTTTTTTTTTTCTTTAAAAAGAACCTTTAATAAATGGTCCTGGGAGATAGCCTCATCCACCAGAGGGCAGACAGCAGAAGCAAGAAGAACTACAATCCTGCAGCCTGTGGAACAAAAACCACATTCACAGAAAGATAGACAAGATGAAAAGGCAGAGGGCTATGTGCCAGATGAAGGAACAAGATAAAACCCCAGAAAAACAACTAAATGAAATGGAGATAGGCAACCTTCCAGAAAAAGAATTCAGAATAATGATAGTGAAGATGATCCAGGACCTCGGAAAAAGAATGGAGGCAAAGATCGAGAAGATGCAAGAAATGTTTAACAAAGATCTGGAAGAGTTAAAGAACAAACAAACAGAGATGAACAATACAATAATTGAAATGAAAAATACACTAGAAGGAATCAATAGCAGAATAACTGAGGCAGAAAAACGGGTAAGTGACCTGGAAGACAGAAGGGTGGAATTCACTGCTGTGGAACAGAATGAAGAAAAAATAATGAAAAGAAATGAAGACAGCCTAAGATACTACTGGGACAGCATTAAACACACCAACATTCACATTACAGGGATCCCAGAAGGAAAAGAGAGAAAGAAAGCACCCGAGAACATATTTGAACAGATTATAGTCAAAAACTTCCCTAACATGGGAAAGGAAATAGCCACCCAAGTCCAGGAAGTGCAGAGAGTCCCATACAGGATAAACCCAAGGAGAAATACACCGAGACACATAGTAATCAAATTGGCAAAAATTAAAGACAAATTATTGAAAGCAGCAAGGGAAAAATGACAAATAACATACAAAGGAACTCCCATAAGGTTAACAGCTGATTTCTCAGCAGAAACTCTACAAGCCAGAAGGGAGTGGCATGATATATTTAAAGTGATGAAAGGGAAGAACCTACAACCAAGATCACTCTACGCAGCAAGGATCTCATTCAGATTCGATGGAGAAATCAAAAGCTTTACAGACAAGCAAAAGCTAAGAGAATTCAGCACCACCAAACCAGCTCTACAACAAATGCTAAAGAAACATCTCTAAGTGGGAAACACAAGAGATAAAAGGACCTACAAAAACAAACCCCAATGTGAATGGATTAAATGCTCCAACCAAAAGGCACAGCCTTGCTGAATGGATCAAAAACAAGACCCACATATATGCTGTCTACAAGAGACCCACTTCAGGCCTAGGGACACATACAGACTGAAAGCGAGGGGATGGAAAAAGATATTCCATGGAAATGGAAATCAAAAGAAAGCTGGGGTAGCAATACTCATATCAGATAAAATAGACTTTAAAATAAAGAATGTTACAAGAGACAAGGAAGGACACTACGTAATGATAAAGGGATCAATCCAAGAAGAAGATATAACAATTATAAATATATATGCACCCAACGTAGGAGCACCTCAATACATAAGGCAACTGCTAACAGCTCTAAAAGAGGAAATCGACAGTAACACAATAATAGTGGGGGACTTTAACACCTCACACCAATGGACAGATCATCCAAACAGAAAGTTAATAAGGAAACACAGCTTTAAATAGAGACAATATACAATAGACCAGATAGATTTAATTGATATTTATAGGACATTCCATCCAAAAACAGCAGATTACACTTTCTTCTCAAGTGTGCACGGAACATTCTTCAGGATAGATCACATCTTGGGTCACAAATCAAGCCTCAGTAAATTTAAGAAAATTGAAATCATATCAAGAATCTTTTCTGACCACAACACTATGAGATTAGAAATCAATTACAGGGAAAAAAAACGTAAAAAACACAAACACATGGAAAAATAAATAAATAAAAATAATAAATGGTCCTGGGACAGCTTACTATTAACACACACAAGAAAATAATAAAATTAATTCCTTGCTTTACCTTATTTACAAACATAAATTCCAGATGGACTAAAGGTAAAAATTTTTTAAACTTTCTGAAGACAATACAAAAGAACATCTTTATGACATCAGAGTAGGGAAAGATTAATTAAATAGGACACACAGTATAAACCACAACATCAAGATTGATCAAATGGACACCAAAAGACACTTATCCCCTGGACTTTGAAGGTCATATTTGCCCCTGACTATCCACAAACCACTGTTCTTGGCTGCCTCAGAGATTTTATTCATGATGCTTCATCTGTGGAAATACCCATTCCACCTAACTTCACCTGATGAATCCCTACTCATTTTCAAAGATAGAAGGCCTGTATTTTTGAAGAAGCATTCTCAAATTCCTCCAGGAAGAGTTAATCTCTCTTCCTCTATACACCCAAGAGTACTTGACACCTACCTATAAATGGCCCAGAGCACATTCTGGAATAAATTTTATTTTTGTATGTATCTTGTTTCCCAAACAAATTTTAGGTTTCTTAAGGGCAAAGGTTATAGTTTGTACCCACTCCCCAGTATCACCTAATGCCATTACTTGTGCGTATTTATAATTCAGAAATTATTGAATTAAGTCAAAATTAGTACGAGTGAAAGAAGCCCAAAACACTAAATTTTAATCATGAGAGTTAAAAGAATACAGAAAGTACTGACAAGAGTGCTGGACCACTCTCTGTTTTTGCTAATACATCTTTAGTGCTAGCACTATACCCAACACTCAAAAAGTTGAAAATTATTGAACAAATGAACTAATGTCTAACTTGGGGGACAGAAAACTAAGATAATACGTGAAAACAATTTAAAAACCTGTAAAGTAAAAGTCTAGAATATTGAAGAATAGTGTTGTTATATGTTGCTCCAGAAGCAGAACTCTAGATCATGCATTAATTTAAACAGAGGCACAAATTTCATTAAATATAAGAACTTTCTATTAACCACAGTGGTTTGGTAATGAAAGAGGCTGCTTCATAAACCACCTGGTTCTCTCTACTTATGGTCCAAGCAAAGGGTAAATGATCTGTTGGGAATATTCCAGGAATATTTTCTTAAATTGCTTCTCCAAATGGCTGAACTCAGATGTTTATAAAACTACCTCCATCTCATAGAAGTAAGATCTAAAAATTTAGATGTTTTGGTATTTTAAACACCTAGCTAGAATCATATAACACTAAATATAGCTTGGCACTGAAAAATAAATATTAATCTCATCAGTTATTTCATCCTTAAAAAAAAAAAGCCCATCAGACCTGAATAACCTAATGTCCTCTGAAGCTGAAATCAATGAAGTTCATGCACTTGTTAAAACAGAATGATGATCACGTTGACACACAATGAAAAGATTCTGTTATTATTACTAACAGTATTGTGTCTCTGAACCAAGCCTGCTCATTGTTGCATATGAAAAGGTTTTAAACTATTTTTCTTATATCGATACAACAGGAAATAGTGCTTATATATTAAAGAAATTATAAAGCTGGAGTAATTCTAGCCAAATTTCCAATAATAAAAAAGCCTCAAAAAGGCTTCCTTGGGACTTCCCCGGTAGCACGGTGGTTAAGACTCTGTGCTCTCAGTACAGGTGTCCCAGGTTCAATCCTGGTCAGGGAACTAGATCCCACATGCATGCTGCAACTATGAGTTCGCATGCCACAACTAAGGAGCCCATGTGCCTCAACTAAGGAGCCTGCGAGCCGCACCTAAGACCTGGCACAACTAACTAAATAAATATTTTTTTAAAAAAGGCTTCCTTGATAGGGAAAATGCATACACATATATGTGTGTATGTATTTATGTATGTATTTTATACATAAGCGTGTGTGTGTATCTCACCATTGCAGATGTCCATAACGCTTTATAACTTTCAAAGCACTTTCACATTTTCAAGAAATTAGATTAAATCAACTTTGAAGGCAGGAAAATACTTATTTATACCTAAAGCAACAGAGGATCTGAGGCATGTACCCCAGGCCTCAATGTTAGTAAATGTTAGCAAGACTTACTAATCCCCACTCTGTCCTCCCCTGGGTAAAAAACCTCAGAACAGAACGTGATGCCGTCCAAGTCAAAGGCTGAAGCATTGAGTGTGCTTATTAAAGTATGTGTACAGTGGACCTTAATTTTTATGTTACTTGAAAAGGGCCTCGTGTTAAACTGTGGCTTGAAGACATATTCTAACAATAGATAATCATTTATTAAGCACCCTACGTAATAGGAATTTGCATGAGACAATAATAATTCCTTCTTCAGCTGTAATGAGGACTTTAGGTTCTTTTTGATTATTATTTCCCTCCCTTCCTTATATACACCTGAGCGGTCACTATTTTCCTAACACATCCCCACATACAAACCTCATCTCCTTCCTGAGGTCGCATCAAGGACACCCGGTCATACTGCCTCCGCAACAAAGCCCAGAGCGCATCCAGCCGACCCTAAAGGGAAACGTGATCTGTCAATACCTGGGGAATGTGCTCGGCCTCTGCTTGTTAAATAAATGAGCTAAAATGAAGAAGGTAAAGTCTTATTTTCTCCTCTCATTTCTCTAATAAATTTAACGAATAAATAAATAACAAAAATGGAGTTTCTTGTTACTGAGAAATATTCAGTTGTTATAAGGTAAATTGAATGTCTGTTTTTGATATACCTTGGTCCTCCTGCAGATGGTTGCGGGGGCAGGCAGGGAGACTAAAAGGATTACACTTTCTCTAGGAAGTTGCTGTTAAATCCCACAAAGTTTGAACAGTCACCTTAATTGGTGTGTACCACTTTGTCTGAGGAGGCTGGAGTGTGGGTTTGGGTCGAGGTGGTCTGGGCCTAAGGAGCTCCTCTGGTTCTTCAGGAATGGTCACCACAGCATTTTTGGCTTTCTCTAGCCTTGCACCTTCCTCCGTAGATCCTTTATCACCCCAACGAACCTTTAAAACAAAGGGAAATACTGATATCAGACATATAGTGGCCTAGAGGAACAGGCTCTTGTTTAGTTGGTTCTTTGATTCACCACCTCAGAGTCCAAAGATGAGTAGGTATCCTAGCTCCAAATTCCTACTCTTCTGAGATTTAATAGGTTTCTCACCACTCATGTATTTAATATTAAGATCCTAGAAATAAAGATCCTTTATAAAAATCTGGCATCTATTAAATTTGATACAGCCATTTCTCCATTGTTTCAAGTAAGGAGTTAATTAGTGTTTTACATACGAAATGCATGACAGTGTGTAATTCTATTCTCTAATTAGGTATGTTCTCCTTCTAGCTAAAGACATACCTGTATATACTGATGGCACTGGGTGAAATAGATGATAATGATGATGATAATTAGCATTTATTGAATGATTATTATGTGCCAAGCTGCATTTAATCCATACAAAAATGCAATGAGATAGATACTATGTTTTTGCTTCCAGATGAGGAAACCAAGACACAGAGAGCTTAAGTGATGAGCCCAAAGCCACACAGCTAGTAAGCAGCAGGACAGGGATTTGAACATATGTAGTCTGAAGGGTGCAGCAAGTTTCAAATAGGTTTGAATTTTACAAATATATTTTATACAAAGGAGTTAATTTTTCCTTCCAAACTTTCCATCAAGTTTGACTAAGGCAAAAAGTATGATTTAAATTTTAGCCTTTGGAAATAAAATAATTATATATGTTTTTCTCAACTTTTTGTAAAGTAGCTCTCAGTCTTTATTTCCTCTACTCATATGGGTATGGTTATTTGACATATCAATTTTTCATTGAGGAAGACAAATCTGAAAAGACTCTGCTTTGAAGAGAAAAATTCAGGGACACCAGGGAATTCCACAAATTTGGGAGGATTCCTTTCTCTGAAAAACCTAGACATTGAAAACAAAAAGGTCAAATGATGTTTTCTTTACTTTTCAATGAAAATTGGCTACATTTTAGCCAAATTTTTTCATGCGTGGGCATGTGAAGAAGTTGTGGCCCCTGGAGAAAGGCTTTGTCCAACCAGGAACAGTAGAGAAGTCTAGAAACCAAGAACGTTACCAAAGAAGACAAAGATAAGTGAAGCTCTAAAAAGAATCAGGAAGGCCTGTCCAGGGCACACAGTGGCTCACCAGAGTTGAATAACTTCTACAAAGAAAAAATGATTAAATGCTTTTTAAAAGCATTTTAATGACCTGAATTAGTGGGTAGGAATACAGATGACTACTGTTCATAGAAAGATCTATTCATAGCTTTTTGATAAGGCTTACTTAGACGTTTTTACCTTTTTTTACTACAATTTTAGAGTAGGTTTTCAATTTCAAGTGGACTCTGTTGAGTCATTAAAATGTATCTGTATCTTTCAGTGTTATCAGCGGTACTAGAATGTTCTTTATGAGGTCGTTAAAATTGTTGTAAATACCATTAAACCTTTAGAACTAGATAGTTGGCTTTTTTCCAGAGAAATGACCTTCTCTTTCAAATCACAGTGTCTTCACCTAGATAAACTAAAACTTTAAAAATCTTTAGATATATCTAAATTGAACTAAGAAACTCTAAAACCAGGACACATCTCCTGCAGTTGTAAAGTCTCAATTTTAAGGGAAAAAATAAAAAATGAAGATACATAGTCAAATAAACATATGAGTATCATAACAGAGAGAAGTAATTCAGAGTAGAAATATAAGTAGGTAAAATTTAGATCCATTCAGAAATGATGGATTTTTAACTTAGATTTTAACTAGCCCAGCCTTCACAGTTGATATTCTAGAGGTAATGGTACTCATATTCTTCCTCCAAGTATCATTGTACCATTCTCAGATAAAGAACACGAAGACAGTTGAACTAGAGTTCTGACCCAACATTGCATTTCTAAACGTATGATACATAGTTGCCGAGGTATAAAGGAAATGCATTAAGTAAATCCATTAGTGTTAGTTCATGAAGTAGCTGTTTTATCACTATTATCACCATCACCACAGATAATACAACAATCAATTCTCACTCAATCTCACTCAAACTAGGAAACACTTTATATAGAGTTTTCCTAAAACTCTTAAAAGCAAATAAATATATATATATACACTTATATGTATAAATTTTAATATTTTAGTTTGACCACATTGAGATAGTCAAAAAGGATAAAAGAATAACAAGAATGGATTGCTAAAGGCAGCCTTAACAGAATTAATATATCTGACTTTTTACTATTTAAAAAAAAGTGCAAGCTTGATAGCTAAATTCTTCCAATTCTACTTGGCTTTCATGATAAACAATGAAATTCCATAATTTCCACAGCATATTTGGAGATTGTATCATAAAGGAGCAATTTCAGAATTGAGAAAAGAAACAAAAACAGTTTCACGCGGAACTGGCAGAAACACACATTTGAAGCCATTAGGTATTGTGGATCAGTTGTGCTAACAGCTGTTATTAACATCAGCTCAGTTCCAGCTTTCTGCAAACTGCGATTATAATAGTGTTTAAATATTTAGGAGGAAGAAAAAATTTCTAGGTAAAATCCCTATACTGGCTTAAAATAACATTGAGTTATGAAGATTTATTCTTTAATTCAGATGTGCTCATAATTTCTATAATTCCTTTCACTTTCCCCAGTTTAAACTGGGGAATTTTTTTAAGGAAAATACTTTTCAGGTTTGAATAGGCATTGTTTTAAAACAAGTTATGTTTTCTATTTTTCCTCTCCAAGTTTAAATTAGTTGATGTTTGAAAAAGTCTAAAGGCACTAAATTCTTAGTTTATTTTTTCTTTGTTGTTTTTGGCCTCACTGTGTGGCATATGGGATCCTAGTTCCCCGACCAGGGATTGAACCTGTGCCCCTTGTGGTGAAAACATGAAGTCTTAATCACTGTACTGCCAGGGAAGTCCCTCAGTTTATTTTTTATTGTGTATTTTTACATACTGTGTTTCCCCTTTGTGAAGCCCACATTTACTTTCTCATTTTTTTCTTCATTCTCATTCCCATTTCCATTTCGTTGATGGAGTACTACATAAAAAGTAGCCAAAATTATCCATGGCTAAAATGAACTCTGATTTATTAAAAGTGGGTTAGTCTTTCTCATAAATTTTCTTCAGCTAAAAAGCTAGGGCAATATAACTTCACATTAATTAACAGTCAATAACTAAAACACAAATAAATAAATTTCAATTAAATTTGAATTAAATTAAATTAAATTTTACATTTAAGTAAAAGAGTCAATAACTCTTAAAACATGAAATGTGAGTTACTCAAGAATGTCCATGGGCCCTTGGCTTTCTTGACCATATTCCAATAATATGCCTTTTAACTCAGAACCCATTCAGTGGCTCATGCATAAACTTTTCTATTCTGTAGAAAGAGATCTTAATCTTTGGAACATGGAATATTGGAGTAACAAAAACCTGCCACAATTCCTCGTGTTTTTAGCAAGAACTAATATATCTGAATCTCATTGTCATGTGGTATTTTATATGTGTGGATTTCAAAATGGAATTAAGTTTATTATTCTGAATATAAATTAGTACATGCTCACTGTCAAATAAGTTGGGAACAAACAGGGAAATATATAACACAAATTGAAAATCACTCCATTCAGAGAAAGCTACTAACATGTTGTGCTATTTCCTGTCAAACCCTTTTCCCACTGCATACATCTTTTTATACACACATTTTGGAACGAGACTAAATAAACTAAAAATAAGCTATGACAGATCATATTTGGATATTCATATGTAATGATTTTATTTACAATTGTATTTTTTAATACGTAGGGACATCCAGTCCACACTCTCCCCAACCTCTCCAATCTTAGAATGACACAACAAAGGCAAATGAAAGGAAAATGACCTTCCTTCCATGTCAAGCAACAAGAGCTAGCCTCACCATGTTCCCTTGTACTGCTTGATATTCCCAATTACCCACCTGCAAACACAGAAGCAATATTTTCTCCAAGAGACAAATGTAGTAAGTTCTAGCACCTGCCTTTTTCATGGCTTATTGGCAATGAGGTACCTGTCTCAGAAGATATCAGCAATAAAGTGGCAAGCTCTTAGGAAAATGTGCATTATTTTAAGATCTAATGTGGTCAAGAAAATGAGAATCACTATCAGATAACCACTTTAGTAATGACAGTCATTTAAGTAAGTCTGGGCTTCTTTTGAAGAGTACTGAAATTTATGTTGACAATGGGAAATTCTCCTTGGGAATCTGAATTTTATTGAAATGTATAAAAAGAGAAAATTGTGGGACTTCCCTGGTGGTCCAGTTGTTAAGACTCCACGCTTCCACTGCAGGGGGCATGGGTTGGGTTTGATCCCTGGTAGGGGAACTAAGATCCTGCATGCTACATGGCACAACAAAAAAATTAAAAAAAAAAAAAAAAGAAAGAAAAGAAAGTTGCAACAGTTGTGAGGTTGTTAATTAGCTTATTGATTTTTGCTGGCAGTAATAGGACAAAGCAGATATGACAGTAGGAGACGTGCAATGATTGCAAAACACTTAAAAATTCTTTCTTATTGAGAAATAAAATTAAAGAATAACTAATAAGAAAGAAATGCCAGGATCTGTGTTTAATAATAATGTCACCATATCAATGAGAAAATTCTTCCAATTTCTCCTTCGGGTGGGATGTTGGCCTATCTATACTGTTGTTAAGGGCTCAGTGCTGACAGTGCCTGCTTATTATTAATTAATCCATCACTTTGAAAAATACTTCTGTGGTGGTAAGAAGACCTCATTTCATCTTTAAGATATAATATTTAAGTTCAATTTTAGTCCACATGTTTTGCCAGTCTAAAAATTTAATAGTCTATAAATGATATTTAATATTAATTATGATTATTCATAAGTGGTCACTAAAACCTGTAAAAAAAGCCTTAAATGTACTTCCTCTACATTTGTGATAGGGTCTTATCCATGATATTGAATATTTTAATATTTTTCTCCTCAAATAGTACTTAACTATTGGATCTTTTCAAAGACAAGCATTGTTGCAACTTTAAGTATCTGGCTTCTTCAAAGTTCATGTTCTCCATAGGAATTTTTTCCAAAATAGTAAAAAAAAAAAAAACCCTAATTTTGTTTTGCCCTTTAGAATTCAGAAATCTTATCAATGTAGTTCTTTGACTAATGAAGTCAGTTCTTCTTGAATAGTTTTGAAATGGCTAGGATTATTCCATAGAAAAAAAATTTGTCCAAAAAAGACCTAGTGTTAAGTAAAAATGGATGATATTAGGATACTGAGTTGTGAAAAGTACAGTTTCCACGGCTTGATAGTTCTAAAACTACATATTCCACATTAGCAGCTTCTAATTTTTTTTCAAGATACCAACCTCCATTCTTTTAATTCCTCCAACCCCTCGACCACCATAATAAGAAGCATCCACGGTTGGCCATTTCTTGGTAGGCAGAGGTTCTTCTTCCTCCTATGTGGATACAAGTTTTTAAAACTGAGTTTAATTAATTTCTTAAAATATTGCTTAGTCAGAACCAACTCACATTTAAATATTTTTCCGAATAATGACACTGATATGGACAAAATATAGTAAAAATTACATACAGCACATGTGGATGTACTTATGCTTATGTGCATAAATTTCAAGTGAGGTTCTACAGAATATGAGGGCTCCTTCCATTCCACAATTTGAGGAATCTACCTTATTTCACTAGGCTACCAGAAGTTGCTCCTTAACTATGAGCATCATTTGTTTTTCCAGATTTATTCATCACTTCATAGTTAAGAAGATAAAACATTAAAATTAGGACCGCATTTCAATGATCATTTAAAGCCTCAATGTATGTGTAAATTTAAACTCTGCGAAATTTGTACTGAAAAGATAGGTAGTTAAGAAGCTTTGAAAATGCACACCATATTTTCTGTTGCTAAAACAATTTTGGCTAACAGAGTAATGTAAAAGTAATAATCATTTTGAAGAAAGTAATACTATCTTTAAGCTGCCAGCTTGGATCTTCCAACTTTTTGTAAATAAGACAAGTGACAGTAGAACTATTGATATATTGCTATAAAAGGTAAATTAAATCTCTATGTACTATTGATCCTGATGGCTAGTCTACGTTTATCAATGTGTGAAGGTCCCGTTCCTCTAGCACATGAAAGAAATCATGAGAAGACAAAATATAATTGATTTTCATAATTTCAAAAGTCAATACATAGGTATCACAGTTATCTAATAACAATGTAATTGATCAAATTAGGGATAATATCTAAATACACCCACATCACTTATTAGGCACTCATTTACCTCTTTTGGTGCAGAGGGTGGTGGTGGAGGAGGATCCTTGATAACCTGTACCAAAAAAAATAAAACCAAAAAAACAATCAAATGCAGAAACTTCAGTGGCACAGGGAGGAGACAGAAAGGATGTATAAAAATAATTAGATTAGTAAAATACTGTGGTGGCACCAAAGATGTCCCAGATGAAGCTAGCCTCCCAAAACATATGCCTCCCTTTTGAACCTGGGCTTGTTTGTAACTAGCTTTGGACTAACTAGCAACTACTAGGTTTTCTTTGACTAACTAGCTAGCTAACTAGCACATTCATTCATTTTATCTTTATGATATAGATATAGCTTCAGTTTTCAGGTAAATAACAAGAGCAAAAATTGTCAAATACCTTGCACTAAGTGGCTCTTCTAATGCAAACATTTTTCACTAGATTACAGTATGTCCACTCAAATGGAGTAGGAATTTACTGTCTTCCTGCTATGATTCACTGACTTTTTCACAAATTGACAATACAAAGGTGGCTTGCTTTGGATGAGATAATAGAGAAATTAACATACTCTCTCACCCCACCTTTTAACCTAGAAACAAATCAACCTCTTAGCCAAGAGTTCTTTCCTGTGAATCGTTGCTCAATATATTATTTCATGAAATTTGATGTGGTTAATTCTTTATGTGAGAGGAATACAGACTGAGATCAAATTTACTGGTACTGGGGTATCTGGACTTTCATACCATCATGATAGAAAATTACTGACCAAGGGCCAGTAGTGTCTGATAATTCGAGTACACATCCAAGTCTCTATACTAAGAAGAAAAACTGTTTGAAAATATAACTGCCTCACTTCATCTAAAGTCAAATGTTTCAATTATCTCATTAAAGTTTTAAAATTTTAAAACAATAGTAGCTCTGAAAATGAATATCATCAAAGAATTATTACTACTGTTCAGGTATATTCCTATTATCATGAATATGTTTTTTAAAGACTGCATATATTTTAAAGATATATACTGAAACATTTCCAGATTAAATGATATAATTCTGATATTTTCATCAAAATAATTTGGGGTGGGAAGTAAAGAGGTTATATATGAAATAAATTTAGCCATAAATTGAGAATCATTGAAACTAAGTAGACATGGGAGATTCATTATTTCACTCTTTCTTTTTGTATATGTTTGAAATTTTTCATAATGAAAGTTTTTTTTTGTTGTTACTGATAATGTTTAGTGAATTGACTCATAATTTTCTTCATATATATTACTTTCATCCTCAAGTTTTAGTTTAGATCTAAATCTCAGGAAAAAATGCAAACAGTAACTGCAATTACATAGCTATAACTGGACAGTAATTTAATCTGAATGAATCTTGAACTAGCTCATTGTAGCATTCAAACTTTTGAATGCTACAAGAAATGCTGTTATTTCTATTTAACCCTTCTGTTTAATTCAATTTTGTCTTATCAATAAACATAAAATCCCAGTTCTTTTTACTAATATTGAAGGATAGAAATCTGTGAAGTTTTACATTTAGCCCAGAAACAAATGCCAGGAGAGGATAAAGATTCAAAATAATACTGTGGTAAAATAAAATAAAGGTTATCAAGCTACAGGTGCATTTCCTTTATAAAAAGGAAGCACTCTGCTGGAGAGGGTGTGGAGAAAAGGGAACACTCTTGCACTGCTGGTGGGAATGTGAATTGGTTCAGCCACTATGGAGAACAGTATGGAGGTTCCTTAAAAAACTACAAATAGAATTACCATATGACCCAGCAATCCCACTACTGGGCATATACCCTGAGAAAACCAAAATTCAAAAAGAGTCATGTACCAAAATGTTCATTGCAGCTCTATTTACAATAGCCCGGAGATGGAAACAACCTAAGCGCCCATCATCGGATGAATGGATAAAGAAAATGTGGCACATATATACAATGGAATATTACTCAGCCTTAAAAAGAAATGAAATTGAGCTATTTGTAATGAGATGGATAGACCTAGAGTCTGTCATACAGAGTGAAGTAAGTCAGAAAGAAAAAGACAAATACCGTATGCTAACACATATATATGGAATTTAAGGGGAAAAAAATGTCATGAAGAACCTAGGGGTAAGACAGGAATAAAGACGCAGACCTACTGGAGAACGGACTTGAGGATATGGGGAGGGGGAGGGGTGAGCTTTGACAGGGCGAGAGAGAGTCATGGACATATACACACTAACAAACGTAGTAAGGTAGATAGCTAGGGGGAAGCAGCCGCAAGGCACAGGGATATTAGCTCGGTGCTTTGTGACAGCCTGGAGGGGTGGGATAGGGAGAGTGGGAGGGAGGGAGACGCAAGAGGGAAGACATATGGGAACATATGTATATGTATAACTGATTCACTTTGTTATAAAGCAGAAACTAACACACCATTGTAAAGCAATTATACCCCAATAAAGATGTTTAAAAAAAAAAAAAAAAAGGAAGCACTCATATTATCAACATGCACGTCCAATATCAATCAATGAAAACCAGATCTATCAATATTTTACAGTCAACAGGGTCAAAACCAACCTAATAAGCTTCATTTAAGAGCCAACTCTTCTTCCTATCTTCCTTGTTTCTTTCAAGTAAATCACTCTTTCCTTAAAGTTGCAGCCTTAAAATTTTCTCATAATCTATAATTTATTCTCACTTCTAAATGACTTCACCAAATCATTTACCATGTTCAAAAGATTCTTTGAAATATTCTTCTCTCTCTCTCCCTCTGCCTGTTCTATCTTTTCCTCTTTTCTTCCTCCCCACCATGAATTCCCCCAATCCTCCCAAAGCAGATCAGGTTAACTTAATATGTACAGATGCCTATTTGTTCTCCCCTAGCATTGGTCACAATTGATCATTTTCTCTAACTCCAAAACACTGTAACTTCTAAGAGGATGGATTTTATGTCTGCTTTGTTCCTCACTGTATTCCCAGTACTTAGTAGAGTGTCTAGCACAAAGGAAGCAAAGAAGGGAAGTTAGGAAGAGAGAAAAAGGAAGAAAGTGGGAAAGAGAAAAAAAAGATAGAGGAAGGGTTAAAGGGAGAGGAGGAGGAAGGAAGGAAGATCATGGGAAGAAGGAAGGATTCTTTGCGTTCCATTCCTACTATCACTACCTAAAATCATGAACTCAAGATCTCTGGACCTTAAAAATATCTAGTACAATATTTTTCAACTTCTCCAATACACATCCAACCAAAACTTCATTTTTCTGAAAAATTCCCACCTAGCTGTAGTCCAACTATGTTTGAATTCCTGCAATAAAGAGAAATTCACAACTTCACAAAGCAATTTATTCCATTGGCAAGGAACTCACATCATTTGAAAAATTTTCCCCCCAAAGAAGCCAAAGCCTCCTTCTCCGTAGTTTCCACACTTTAGTCCTGATCCTAGAGTGTGGAAACACATGCATACACACAACTATTTTTAATCCCAGAAAAGAGCAGTTCCTATTTTTGAATACTTGGATAATAACCATATATCTATTGAACTTACACATCTGGAAGCGAAACATCACAACCATTTTTTGTGTAATGGTCTGAGTTATTGGGTCATTTTGGTCAGTTTCTTTAGTATATATTCACTTGAACAATATCTCAAAATGTGGTTTCCAGAACTGATAAATAACATTTTAAGTGTGGCCGATCCATTATAATTAAATGCATGGTGCTCAGGCAAAACAGATGCACCCGAGCAATCCTCACTTTGATTCTATGCATTTTAACTAATAACATATTGATAACATTGATTGATAGTCTATAATTACCATAGCTTTATTTTGACATCAATGTCTACATGCTTTATTTGTAGCTAAATTAGACCTCTAGCTTGTTCCTCTATCTCTAACTCATCCTTCATTCTAACCTATGTAGCCAGGTCACTATTTTTCTAATAGAAGCTCAATTGATGGTTTCTCTAGTCAAAATGGATCAAAGGTTCCAGTGGCCACAACTGAACTCGAGGAATTACTGAATTTTGGGAAGAAGCTTACCACTCAGTTTTGCAAACTAACATAAAGTGCTCTCCAGAGTTCTCTCACTAGAAAAAGCCCAAGGTACCTCCTTCATTCCACTACGTCTGAGTATAATGTACTCGAACTCATTTTGATTTCCTTGTGAGGATTTCAAATTTACTCTACTTATTACGGGTACATCTTGTACTGATATATAAATTTCTGAGGACTTAAATAGTATCCCCAACCCTGTTCTATGTTATATCTCCTAAGGATTACTGAAATCCCCCTCCATAACACTTCCTTTTTCATGTCATATTTATCATGCTGATTATCCTGCACAGCATCAAGTTTTAGCATTAATATGGGTAAACTGAGTCTCAATTTAAAATCCTCATATGACCACTGGTGACAAACTCACAGCAGGATAATGAGAGGCATCTTTGCCTTCTTTATCAGAGACTCTTTATCTGTTATCATAAGCCACAACCTGGAAAATGCAAACTCCTTTTTCAGTACATCTACATGAGCCACCTCTTGAATTGTCATTGTTCAAATGCCTCAGCACGGTATAGTTCGACCCTAACACCCTATGTACAAACATCCCTGCATGTGTATCTCTAACTCCAGGCTGACTGAAGATCCCTTTGCTACCCCCCAAAAAATGACCATTTCCATATTGAGTCCCATCCAGCCGTTACAGAGTAGTCTATCAACTTTCTATCGCTTTACCTAGAAGCTTTAAAACTTCGAACAATATACGTGCTGCACAGTTGAACAATTCATGCTTCATCAGTTTGGGTTTGTATGTTTCTTTTGGAATTTTTCAATTACCCCTCAAAACTGTAGATTTCTTAGGGGCAATATCATTTCTCCCTCTTTGAAAATATCACAGCACCTAATAACGTGCTCTGCAAACAACAGATACTAAAAATATGATTGAAAGTGAGCTGAAAAAACTAGCTGAGAATGTTCGCAAAGGCTCATAGCCAACCTCTAAATTTATAAGAAAAATACAGAGGGAAAAAAAAGATATAAATGATAACCAATAGAGAAAGATTTCCATGAAACTAAAATATTGCTAGTTCCA